GTCAGTAATGACTTCTGCTACTGGATGGGGGTAACTATTGTGAATATTGCCCGTTTTAGTAATTGTATTAATTGTTTAACTGCACTTCAATACCTGGATAGAAATTAGCTTAACAGTTAGGTATTTGGAAACTACGTGTTTCGGAACATGGTAAAAAGTTCCAGATATATAGCGATTCTAGATATAGAAATACAGGTATTTGTTATTCGGATATGATTGTAGTGAATATTGTGTTGTTTTGTAATCAAACCTCTGCATAATTATTAGCTTCTTCGGCATGAGGTACACCAGTGGAGGTCAACTGTAGAAAGTCTTAGTAGACATGCACAGAAGCTGACTACAGATTATCCACGTGATGATTCGAGCAAAGCACGGATTGCAGCAGATCAGGCTTACCATCGCTATACTAAGCTTTGCCATAGGTAAGTTGAAAAGCCGTGTCCGTTATATAGAATTAGAAAATGGTCTTATACCAAATCGGTTAAAGTTTATACAAGTACTTAGTGTAGTCTGTTCATTTTCAAATTTGTTTGTTGTTTTTTACATTTACAATATAATTAACGTCAGCTATTGAATATATGTATACACACATTAGTAATACTTTTATGAAGGAAATTAGGGTTAAATATGACCCACTTTTGCGTATAAATAACTGATGTGTTTAACATAAAAGTCATATTTATACAATATTTTTTAACAATCTGATTTCAGTATCCAAGGTCGCGGCAAGGCCCTTCAGAATGCCCTTATATCTCTACAGCAGCTAGACAAAGCCTTGGACGGATTTTTAGCATGGCTCTCTGAAGCGGAATCCACACTGGAGATGCTAGAGTCCGACATCAGCCGAGTTGGGCCTCAGAAAGATGACCAAAATATAACCAGTTGGCTTGAACAAGTGAAGGTCGGTTCATTTTCATTCTGTGTTTAAATAATAAATATCCGTGTAGTAAAAATTAGTTTTCATTTCACGATTTTTACATTGATTTGATTTGCCTACCAGCCATGAAAACATTTTAAAGTCCTTTTCTGAGATGCTTCATGAAACTTTGGTTACTTATTATCTTCCCATTATCACTGTTCAGTTTTTGTTATTCCCACGCTTATCTGTGAGAACATTTGTAGCAGAATCACAACATTTTTTTACTGTAAAATGTTTAAGAAACGGTGAGTGATCTTGTTTCTTTATTTATTTATTTTCCGTTTCCTAGGAGCAAGAAACATCTTGAAATACACTTGGTAATTCATGATGATCTTGGCTGTAACATCGCTAAGTTAATGTTCTGTCCAAGAGTATTGTTCAGTTGACATGTAAGACATCTCATCCAGTTTTGGCAACGTTTCGTTTACACTGATAGGTTTCAAATGTAGCCACCACTTTGGGATCAGTGATAGTGTCGTTTTAAGTATTTACTTCCTGTTCATCATAACCTCCGTTGAGAAACATCGAACACCTCTTGTTCCATTTTTCAGCTTGCTATTTGTCATTAACGTGACGGACTTTTAGAATGTATTGTGATGGAATAGAAAGACTTTCGAATTAAGTATACTGCCATTATTTTGCCCCTCGGGGTGGATTCCTGTCCGTGGTAAGAGGACCTCGCAGGGAAGGTTCTGTATTTTCAGTTACTTCCTCTGGGATCTAAAGATCCTCCCACGTGTTTGTCATGCGTGGTTACCCGTGAAGGGAAGGAGAGAATCCTGGTGGTTGAGTGGTGTTTGGGGCACTGCAACACACCACCTTGGCCCTGAATTCCTGTAGACGGTGGTCTTGGGTGCCCCCCAGGGTCAATCGGCCGGTCTTGTCCGGCTAGGGTCAGCTGAGTACTAGTGTTGGGCATTCTCAACGGGTGTTGTGAACATTGTGTCTGATGCTGGTGTTTGGATACAGCACTCATTGAAACCCTGGCATTGCTGCAGTGTTCTTGTTTGACATTGTAGTGCGTCCCCTCGTAGGACTCCATGGTGGGTGGGGTCAGTGGGCACTGAATTTTTCTCTTTATACTATGGATCCCCCAAATCCTAATAAAAATAAAATAGTAAAAACTTCACTCATTGGTAAACGACCACGCCTTGAAAACTATGAAAAGCAGTCTCCACCCTATTGTGCACCTTTACCTCGTTTTCTTATGGTGCATTCTTTGTCAGAAAAACCGTTTGGGCAAATATCTCTCTTTTTTATTCAGATGCGATTGGATGGGCTTGCTGGCTTTCCATCAGTCAAGAAGCTACGTTCTGGAGACATCTTAGTGGAAACATCAATACCAAAGCACAGTAAACTCCTCTTGAATTCAAAGGTCATTGGGGATATACCAATTGAGGTTACTCCCCAATCTACTTTGAATTCCTCACGAGAAGTTATTGTCGAGATCCTCGCTGGTTTCTCCAGCCAAGGTGTTAATGCGATGCGTCGTATCTCCACTCGTAAAGACGGACTTATGCTGCCTACCAATGTTCTCATTTTGACGTTTTCGTCGCCACGTCCACCCTCCTCTGTCAAGGCAGGTTATTTGAACCGTAAAGTACGGCCATATATTCCCAACCCTCTCCGATGTTTCCAGTACCGGCAGTTTGGTCATTCGAAGGCATCTTGTCGTGGTTCTGTGACGTGTGCTTGTTGTCGTGGCAAGGACCACGATGCCTAGGAGTGAGAACTGGACCCTTGCTGTGTTAATTGTAGTGGTTCCCCCTACTCTTACTTTAGATCTTGCCCAAAGTGGGTGGAGAAGAAAGGGGTACAGCATTTGAAGACTGTTAACAACATTTCTTACCCCGAGGCTCAGGAGCTATTGTTCCCTGCTTCATCTCGGACATATGTCACTGCACTATGTTCTGCTGCAATGGTAGGAGTGCAGACGGACCTTTCCGTGCCTCCGTCTGATTTTTTTCACGTCATGTGAGGTGTCTTCTGCCCTCAGTG